AAAATAATTGGTTTTCTTATTTGAACTATATCTGACCAGTCCATGCTTGCCAAAGGTTAGGAGTGTTTAAAAGATAGACACATTGGCAAGCATTATGCTCTTTCTAAACCCACAGGAGCTAAAAATGTTTTGGTCACAACTACCTGAAAATAAAAGTGCTTTTATGTGATGAACTCTTAGTTCTTCCTTTTGGAAGAAGTATAGTTGCACAGAGATGAAGGGTTGGAAAGCAGTGATTTTTAAGGTCCTATTCAATCTTTTTAAAGGATGTATAATAACATATCTGTCATGCTGTTGCTGGATCTACTCCTAGTCAAACAACACAGTAGTGGTACAGCACAAAGCTACCTGTCTTAGCAACCCACTTTGGTTTTCACTAAGTATTCTGGGCTCCACATATACAGATGAAACCAGGAGACAGGCTCTGAGGAAGCAAAGAGAACATCTCTACCGTGGGCTCATCATAGTCATCTAGGGACGGCTTAAGTTTCCAAACTCAAGTGGAAGGAAAATGATGAAGTAATTATCTTGATAATCACTATCAACACCCATCTTTACCCCCTCTCCTCTTCTGAAAGGCAATCTTTCATTCTTGCTTGAAGATAATGCCTCCACTTGTGTATTCCCCATGCCATCCCCTCTAACCTTCTGAGAGCCTCCTTGCTCCATCACTTACCTCTTTGCATGTCATTCATATTTCCTTCTCTCTGGACTTAGATTCTTTGCCTAGAATCTTGGTCAAGTTTTTCCTTTACTGAAAAACAAAAGTAAGAATAAACACAAATATCTTCGTCAATCCTCTTTGACCTCTAGGGTTTTTTGTTTGTTTGTTTGTGGTTTTGTGGGGTTTTTTTGGCTCTCTCTCCCTCTCCTTTACTTCACCAACAAGTCTTTTTGAAATAATAGTCCATATTTGTGGTTTTTACTGTTCACCTCCCCTCCTCAGTACAGTCAGGATTCTTGCCCCAGCGCTCCAGTATTCATGGTGCCTTCTTTACTAACAATTCTGATGGTGCCTTTCCTCCCCTGGACTCTGTGATATCACCTCTTGGTTTTTTCCACTTCTCTGACCCATTAAAAAATATTTTCTGGGCTTTCTTTCTCCAAAAAATATGTGTGCTCCTCCCTTCTCTGTCCTCAGCCCCTTACTCATTTTGCTCAAACAATGTTTCTGAAATCAATGGTCAACATGGTCCTCAGGTTACTGGTCTTTTACTCACATTATTCTCTCTTCCTGGAATGCCTTCTCTCTCTTATCTTAAGAAGGTACTACTTTTGCTGGGCACCCACCATACCTCTGAAACAGTTTCCTTAATCCTGACCTCCAAAGCCCTTTTTTCTAAAGCGGATTTTTGTTACATCTCCATCATGGAAATCTGCCTCAATTTCTTAATTTGTTGCTCAGCCTGAATGATGGCAATCTCCATATGCCTCCTATTATCCAGTTACCTGACAAAAACTCCTGGCTCATAATATAATAAGGATCTTGTAAATTTACATTTACATCAACAGGCATAAGATTAACTTTTTATCTCTAGGAGAAAAAGTTATAATTAAAATACAAATGCAGTGTATTAGTGAAGTAATCATTATTCTCAGTTTTTCATCTGAAAAATCAGTTGAGACAAATCAAAGACCTACTCCCAAATACCTGACAAGATAGTTAGGAAGATTAAAAATGATGATGAATCTAAAAGTTCTTTGAAAAGTATTAAGCTCCCAACATGTAAATTACTAAATTGAAGGTAAGTCTTTCTTCAGGTACTTATGTATTACACATTAAGAGCAGGGCACTAAAGGGAGATGAAAAGAGAGCAAAAAGTATAAGAGCATGTTATAATGGAAGGAGCAGAACTGAAAAATGAGACCTGGGTGTCCATTCCTGTTCTGTTACTGACTAGATCTGAGATTCTAAAAAAGACACCTTACCTGCCTGGATCTTCTTTTTCAGTTACAAAATTAAAGTGTTGGTCAGATGATATCCTGAAAGTCCTTTCTGTCTTTAATAATCCATGGAAGGAAGTGGGAGAGGCTTAACACTTATCATATGGTTGTTCCTTACAACTGTTTTTTCAAATATCCCCCAACTCTCTTGCCCCTCTTTTCTTCCATTGTTTTCATTTGGCCAAATTCCAAACCTGATTGAAACTAACTATTTGCCTACTCCACACTGGAAGCTAAACATTGCCAGAGAATATCATTCAAGACAGCAGTTTGGTTTCACCTTCTTAAATTTATGATCTCAAAGATCAAATTGCCAGTCCATACTGCCTGACAATCATAGTATTTGTTCTAGTAAGATAGCCTTTTCATTTCCAGATATGACTATTTTAGTTTTTCCTCCCTCAAACCTCCCATATGTCCTTCTCTATCCTCACTTTTACAGTCCTACTTCCTTGAGAAAACGGAAACCATTAGAAGCAAACTCCATCATCTTCCTAAAATTAACTGTAGCAACTTAACTACAAATCTGTCCATTTTATCTAGCCTTCTTCTTGTTAAAAAGATGAAATGTTCCTGTCCTTACTCAAAATTAACCCCTCCTCTTTTGTTCTGTATCCCATACCTTCTCACTTTCTAAAAGATTTCACTCCCAAAATTTGCTCCTTATTTACTTGTGCATCATTAATATCCACTCTATGCTGGATCATTTTCATAACATACAAAAAATAGGGTCAATGCTCATTTCTCTACAGTTACCACTCAATTTCTCTGTTCTCCTTCAGTCTCCACCACTCCACTGACTCTATTAGTCATGTAACCAAATATAAGAGATTATTCTGTGTCTTCTCTTAATCTCACAACAGCTTTTGTCACAATCACTGATGCTCTTGAAACATGGTCTCTGTTATTCTGTTTCCTCTTGGTTTTCATTCTACCTCCACCGACCCCTCTTTTTCAATCTACTTTTCTTGGCCTATGTCACGTCTAAGAGAAAAAAGTCTTAAATATCAGTGTAAGGCATTCTTGTATATCCATAATTTCTCTGTAGGTCAGCTTGTCCATTATCATGGATTTGAATATTATCTATATTCTGATAATTCCTAAATTTATATTCCATTCTAGCCTTCTTCTCTGGGCTACATACTCTCAGATCCAACTGTCAGCTTCTCCTCTCCACTCAGAATTCTCATAAACATCTCAAACTTATTATCTCCAAATTGATCTTGTGTTTCCCCTAAACTTTTCCTCCACATTATCACCACCTAAGTAAATGGAACCAGTTACTGAAACCAGAAACTCGGGAGTTATCTTTGATATTTCACCTTTTATCACTCTTCACATCTAATTTATTAGTAAGTCCTGGTATTTCTACCTCCAAAATGTATCTTGAACCTGTCCTCTGTCCATCTTTTTGCAACCACTTTATTCAGGACTACTATCATCTCACTGAAATTGTTTCTTACTTGTCTCATTCTCATTCACTAAATTTTCCCTCTAATTCATTTATTAAACAGAATCAAAAGTGATTTTAAGCTCTAAATTTGACTACAATGTTGCTTAACACCCTCCAATGAATTCCTATAGTATTTAACTTTATTTTTATTTATTTAAGTAATCTCCACACCCAACATGGGGCTCAAACTCACAACCCTGTGATCAAGAGTTGCATGCTCTTTCAACTGAGCCAGCCAGAGGCCCTCCTATAGTATTTAAAGTCTACATGCCACAGCATGGCCTAAAAGGACCTAAGTGATCTGGGCCTTTCCTATTTTTCCTACACCCCTCTTCTTCATTTCTCTGTCTCTTTGCCTTTCTGTTTATTTTTCTCTCTCTCCAACTCCCTTTCTACCGTATGTTGGTTTTTTTTTTTTTCAGTTTACTTCAGTTTTTCTAATACTTTAAATAATTCCCTCAAGTCCTGTTCCCTCTGCCTAGAATACTCTACTGCCTCCACTTCCAACTCTTACATGACTATCTCCTTCTCATTTTTTTAGGTCTCAATTTTTTATGCTTTTCTTGACCACAGCAACCAAAATAACCCTCTCCCAAACACACATACATATAGCATATTTCCTATTTTGGATCCTTGTTTTTTACATTCATAGTAGACAACTTAAAATTATTTTATGGGTCTCTTTCCTTGTTTTTAGTCTTTCTTTCCCACTAAAATGTTAAGTCCATGAGACATAGAGAGTATTCCTGACTTGTTAAAAAATTCTTGACTTTTTCCTTATTTTATTCTAAGCACCTTTCAAAGAGTTTTACACATAGTAGGCATTTAATATTGTTAAATGAATAGATGAATGTATTAAATACCTAATATGGACCAGTGATTGTGAAAAACGTAATACAGAATCAATATGCTATTCTACAGATGAGAAAACTGTCAGATAAGTGATGTGACTTGTTCAAAGGTACATGGGCATTAAGTAGCAGAGCTGGAATTTGAATTCAGGTATGACTCTTTTTACTATAACCATCATCTTACCATCAGTAGTTCACTTTCACTCCACTATATCTCCTCTACTAACATTTAGAGAACTTATCAAATAAGTTTTAAGGATTAGACATCCTTCAACATAATGAATTTCAATTCATGTAATTTAATTGGTATGGAATTTCTAAAACAGGAAACAGATTTGATCATGGACCTTATACAGTTTACACATAAGTGATTCAGAATACTCACTGCTGATGAAAACACCACTAGCAGCTGTAGAAACAAGAATAAGATCTCCAAGGATAGAACATTTTCCCTCTGTTTTTTAAAAAAATAAATATTAGGAAAAATGTGCATATTTATGTCACAGTCACAGTTTCACAATATAAATTCTATATATGATGGGGCAATTGAAGTAATGGATGAACTTTTCAAATGGGTCCTGGGAGACTGTGGTCAAATTTATTAATTAAGATTAAGAATCCTGAACTTCCAGAAAGAATCCAGTTATGCTTGATATGTATGATGCTTTTAAGCAGTTTGATTTTTTTTCTAAAAATAGCATTTAATCAATGGTCATTCTTTATATTTATATTTTTATTTTTAGATCTAAGTCATGGCTAGCACTGAAGAAGAAATTATGACTCAAATTACAGAATTTATCCCTTTGGGTTTTGGAGATCTCCATGGCCTTCAGTTTCTTCTTTTTGGAGTATTTATGGTCATCTATGTGGTGACTGTCATGGGCAACATTGTAATCCTAACTGTGGTGTCAGCTGATCACTCCCTTCATACCCCCATGTATTTCTTTCTTGGCCACTTCTCCTTCCTAGAGATTGGCTACACCACTACCATTGAGCCCATGATGCTAAGGACATTTTTATCAGCTCATGTGCTTATTTCCTTCCCAGGCTGTGCTTGCCAGTTTTATTTTTTGGGGGCTCTGGTGGCCACTGAATGCTTCTTCCTGGCTGTAATGTCTTATGATCGGTATATAGCCATCTGTAACCCATTGCATTGCTCCAGCATAATGGACTACTGGGGTTGCTTACAGCTAGCTGGTGCCTCTTGGGAAGCTGGATTTCTGTCACCCATCCTTCTCATGATCTTCATTTTTCGGTTAACATTCTGCACTGCCAATGAGATTAACCACTTTTTCTGTGATTTGAAGCCCATCATGAAACTGGCCTGCACTGACATCAAGTAGCTGAGATGACCTCTTTTATATGTACGTCTTTATTTGCCCTCGGCCCCTTCATGCTAACTCTAGCATCTTGTACTTACATCATCTCCACCATTCTGAGGATTCCTTCTACCTCAGGGAAGCAGAGGGCCTTCTCCACCTGTTCCTCCCATCTGATAGTGGTCAGTTTGTATTATGGGATACTGGGCATTGTCTATGGCTTCCCATCAGGGCCTCAACATGAAGACTTATTGAAGTCGCTTTCCCTTCTGTATACAGTGCTTACCCCTGCTCTAAACCCTATTATTTACACCTTAAGGAACAAGGATGTAAAGGTAGCTCTGAGAAAATTGGTACAATGAGGAATGTATACCTCACCAAAAGAAAGTTTGATTTTTTTAGTGGTTCTTGGCGCTTTCTGAAAACCCTGACAAAGTGGAAATCTTTCTACAGTGTCAAGAATAGTTACTGTGAAATTGATGGGTTTTCCTTTGTTCTATCAAATTTCTCCACATTAATGAACAAGAAGTATGTTACGCTTTCATTTGTTGAACATTTTGTAGGTGCCAGGCACTGTGCTAAGTTCTTTTAATGGATTATTGTGCTAAAATCCTCATAGGGGCACCTGGGTGGCTCAGTCAGTTAAACGACTGCCTTCGGCTCAGGTCATGATCCCAGGGTCCTGGGATGGAGCCCCGCATTGGGCTCCCTGCTTGGTGGGGAGTCTGCTTCTCCCTCTCCCTCTGCCCCTCCCCCCTGCTTGTACTCTCTCTGTTTCTCTCACTCCTTCTTGCAAATAAATAAATAAAATCCTTAAAAAAAAAAAAAACCCTCACAGCAACACTGTGAGATGGCTACCATTATTATCCCCATTTTACAGATACCACAACTGAGTCCCAGAGATTAATTCACTTGGTCAAAACCATCCAGCCAAAAGATACCAGAATATGAATTTGAACCCAAGGTCTGCTTGGCACCAAATCCATGATCTTTCCACTAATTCGGGGAGCCCAGAATCTTGGACTGCCTAAAATGGTTATCTTGGACCATAGAAGATATTACTGCCAATAACTTTTCTTAGGAAAACATGAGTTAGATGTGAAGTGAGAAGTAGAAAAGTAATGTAATGCTATCTAAATCCAAATCTGTCTCTTTTTCCCACCTGAAGTCTTGATAAAAATGCATGAAATAAAAATGTCATGGGATTAAAATTTATTTTAGTTTTTTATTTCAGGATTATTTATTAAAATAAAAGATTAAAATCGACCTAATTGGTTCAATAAATTAAATCACATCCACACAATGGAATACAGTACATCCATAAACAAACAAAAACAGCATAAAAGAATGAGTCAGCTCTGCATGTGCTAATATGGAAAGATCTCCATGATATATTGTAAGTACAAAAAGCAAGGTATAGCGCAGTGTGTATGATGTGACACCATTTGTGTAGCAATAGGTAAAAGAAATAATAGTTATACTTAATTGTAGATGTATAGACTATTCTAGGAAGGTTCATATGCATTCAGTGGTATCAGTTGCTTCTTGGAAGAGGCATTAAATGGAGTGGAAGTGTACTTCTTGAGGTGGGAATCATGTAAATTACTGAAAAGTCATCAAAGTTTAACAAATCATTGTAAATTATACAAAAAGTAGAATTGTCAAACAACCCACTTTTATATATCAGCATGGAAGCACCTCTAGACATGTAGGAGGCTTCTCTTCTCTCACAGGTAAGTTGTACACTCTCTAAGGGCAAGAACCTTGTCATTATTACTGTATTCCCCCCACAGTGCCCTAAATACCAAAAAAGTGTAAATAGCATAGGTGTTTAATTAACATTTGTTACTATCATCCAAGACAGGGGGACTCAACATCCACTGAGCATAACAATTCCTAACAACTTAATGTATTTCTATCTCTATAATGAAAAAACGAAGGGGAGAAAGTACAAGCTGTGTATTTAATGTTCTTCTCATTTTTCTACAACAGTGCAACCATAAAGGCTGGCAAGGGGTTGGGCATGAAATGAGAATGGTTTCCTAGGCTCTTACTTACAGTCACCAGTGTGATCTTCCTGCAATGAAAATTTGTTCACATCCCTCCTGTGTTTAATCAGCCTCTGCCACAAGGATCCCCAAGTAAGAACAGAATAAAGGTCTCATACTCTTTATAACTCCATGACTTTGCACATGATGCTTCTCCTTTTACCTCTGTCTCACCTCTTCCGGGTTTCTTCTCTCATTTTCACCCTTCAAGCCCAAGTCAAATGTTGAAAATTCTGTGAAGCATACCCTGATCCTCCACCACCCCTCTAAAGTTAGGCCTTCTTTTTCCCTATGTTACTAAAGCACTTTGCATATATTTCTATTTTAGCATTGATTATATGATACAGTAATTCTTTGCGTATGTGTCTTTCTCTCCATTTAATGAGTTCCTTAAAGACAAAGGATATGTCCTATTTATTTCTGTCTCTGCCCTACTTTCACCTCCAACTCTTCCCAGCACCTAGAATGGGGTCTGATATTGAATAAGTATTCAAATAAACATTTAAAAATAAATATGATTATTCGGGGCGCCTGGGTGGCTCAGTTATTAAGTGTCTGCCTTCGGCTCAGGTCATGATCCCAGGGTCCTGGGATCGAACCCCGCATCGGGCTCCCTGCTCTGCGGGAAGCCTGCTTCTCCCTCTCCCACTCCCCCTGCTTGCATTCCCTCTCGCTGTGTCTCTCTCTGTCAAATAAATAAATAAAATCTTAAAAAATAAAATAAAAATAAATATGATTATTAAATGACTTGACTAAAGTCATACAATTAATTAGGGGATGGTCATACCTTTGTTTGACTCCTAGTAAATTGTTCTCTTATATAATGCTGATATTTATCTTACAGGGTAGTTGTTTACCTACCTAAAGTAAAGTCTGAACCATATAATGTCTTAAGGATATTTCTAGTTCTTGCAATTGGAGATTTGTCTTGGGGCAAATTTGGCAGTAGAATTTGTGGTAAGGAGTGGAGAATCTTGAGCATTTCCTCTAGGATCAGAGACCAGCATTGCCCTGAGTCCTTGAAAAGCCAGTCTAAATTATTCATTTATTCATATTTTAAACACATCTGTTAAATATAAACTTAACATATCAATATGTTAAATATAAATTTAAATATAAACTTAACACATCAATATGTTAAGTAGAAATTTAAATATAAACTTAACATATCGATATGTTAAGTAGAAATTTAAATGTAAACACCCACTATGTATATATAACACTGTTAAGGGCACAAAAAGAATATGAATTTACCTTGAAAACTCTTCAGCCTAAACATTGGACCACCTACACAGCCCCAGACATATAGCCTGCACCCAGTAAATATTTGTTCAACTAAACTAGGCCAAAGGAAGTTTGAGTGGCCTGAATTTCTGGGAATGGGACTGGCCTCTGTTGAGAAGATCATCAATTTCTAATACCATGTTCCTAAATCTGGAGTCATAGGTCTTGGATATTTTAAGTTGTAGAATACATTGAAGGAAAAAAAAATGTGAAGAAGAGGAGGGGATATCTTCACCTGGAAAATTTAAGAATCATTGCCTCTTCCACAACACCAGCTACCATCTGCCAATGAGGAGGCAACATATCCATGGAGAGTGGCAATTAGAGCTAATTGGGTTTCTTATTTTTAATACCTGAAACAGGGCCCCATTGAAATCAGGGAAGGAGATCTATTAAAGGCAAGCTGTTCTCTGCATATCACTTAATTCAAAGTACTTAAGGAGGCTGATTATATGCCATGCTCTCCAAGGATAACTGAAGTTCAAAATGGTGGTTTGTGTAAGTTTAAGGACTTGATTCTTAAACCAGAATGCAAATAAGAAATCCTTTGAGAAAAACCTGAATTAGAGTATGAAAGCAATGCCTTGAGAAAGGGTAGATACTTTTACACAGGACACAGTTCAATTTGACCTATATGAAGACAGGCATCTGTATAAAAGTGAGAAATTCGGGTAAATATTCAGCTTTAGGAGCACTGCATATGGAAAATTTTCAGATAGCTCTTTGTTTTTTTCACTATCTGAAAAAATTACAGCATTCAATTATGCTTAAAGAGTGGACTCACCACTCAGACAGACTAGCTTGTGAGTCCTGGCTCTGTGACCATAGATAAGTAAATTAGCCTTGCTGATCTTTAAATCCCTCATGTGTAAAAATGGAAATACTAGTATCTATCTTACCTCACTAGGCTGTTATGAGGATTAAAAGAGATAATGCATGTAAAACCCTTGCACATATGAGATATTCAATACATGTTAATTATTTTGTTAGTAGTTATGATGATGATGATAATGATGATGTTATCATTGGGCCCTTTCCTGCTTTGATATAGTAAAGAAATACTGAATAAGGAGGTATCTAATTACTATATAATAGTCTGACACTTGAAAAGAGAAGCTAGAGGCCAAGCTTCTGAGGCTTCTCAGTTTTACCAGAGCCTCAGTTTACTATCATCTCTGGCAAGTAAAATATAAGCTATTTCATGTATTAGTTGATTGGGCAACTTTTGGAAGTTTTGAATTCTACTGTCCAACATCTGGCTTTTAATGGCAGCCCAAGCAATAAGACCAGACTGGCTCCACCTTATTCTTTTTGCCAGAACCGTATTTCTTCCTTTTTTTACTTAATTGCCATGTTTCTCTTACTAAAATCCTTCTGACAACAAGTAAAGTGCAGAGAAAAAAAGGGGGTGCTAACAAAAGGTGTAACATAGAAAATATAGTCAATGGTACTGTAATAGCATTGCATGGTAACAGATGGTAGCTACACTGGTGGTGAGCACAGCATAATGTACAGAGTTGTTAATTCACTATGTTGCAGACTTGAAACTAATGTAATACTGTGTGTCAACTATACTCAAAAAGGGGGGTGCCTGATAGGAGAGGAAAGCAAGCTAAGGGGGAATGGATCTGTTAAACTGCTAAGAGTTTGATGACAACTTCATCATATGTTGTTATTCTATGTTCTCTAGCCACATGTGGGATCCTCTTTCAGTTTCTTGAATCTTTAAATTCTTTTCTGCTTCAGAATGTTTGTGTATGCTATTTCCTCTGCCTAAAATATTCTCCCTGAAAACCTGACATAGTTAGCTCTTTCTTATCCTCTGTACTCTCTAATTTGACATCAAAGAGACAATGTTTGGCCACCCCATCTAAATTAATTTCCCTGCCAATACCATCGCCTCCAACTAGGTAGGCTCCATTTCAATATATCATCATTTTTCTTAGCACCTAAGAAAGTGGTAATAATGTAATCATTTATATACTTATATTTTTCATGTCTGTGTCCCAGAACCTCTGTGCCTGCCTCATAGTAAGCACTCAATACATATTTGATGAATAAATGAACAAATGCTTTTAGAATTCTCGCCCCTTGGTTAATCAATGGGTGGGTATTCAATGGTTGTGGCTTTGATAGACGGATAACTAAGGAGGGTTTGAAACATATCCAAAAATTATTTTATATTCCTCCTATCAAAAGGTAGAATTGGTGTCATCTCCCTAATCTCAAAGGGATTGTGATAGTTTGGACCAATGGAGCATGACTAGGGCACGTGGGCACAATAATAGCACCCAGAATCTAAGGAGTGACTTTCAAGGCTGGGTCATAAAAAGTGATGTGGCTTTTGCCTTGTTTACTGTAAATTTGCTCTGGGGGCACTTAGATAACACGTGTGAAATTCAACACACATACATCCTCAGGAATAATCCTGAGGCCACCATTCTGTGAAGAAGACCAAGTCACATGGAGAGGCCACGTAGAGGTGTTCTGGTTGACAGTTCCTGGGAGACAGAGGTGATGTCTATATAAAATCTGTAGGGTCTATTTCATATCTTCAAATTCTTCAATAGTTTGCCCATTGAGAAGGAAGATCTATGTCCCCTCCTTTTGAGTATGGAATAACGATTACATCTTGGACCAATAGAGCATGACCAGAGCAATAAAAGAGGGTGACAGTGACAACCAGCATCAACTGCCAGATATGTAAGCAAAGATGCCTCTAGATGATCCCACTTTATAGCTGTCTGGTCCCCTCCAGTCATTAACTTTTCCAAGCTGAAGACCCAGACATCATGAGGCAGAGACAAGCTATCCCTGTGTGACCTGTCCAAATTCTTGACCCACAGAATTCATGAGTGTAATTCAATTGTTTTATTTCACCAATTCTTTGGGTAGTTTGTTATGGAGGAATGGTAACTAGAATAGAGGCCATGGCATCCATGTCATTTTAGGATGCAGAAAGTAAGTTCAGAAAATTCAGCTATATGGCAAAATGCCTCTTGACTGATACTGGATTTTTAAAATGTATATTATGCCATTTAATACATTCCTACACTTGCCTGAAGGCTTGTTTCTCTGAAGAGAAGCTTCCCTGAGCCTTCCAAGCAGAGAGGAATACTTCATCCATCCTGGATGCTACCACTGTGTTGAGAATAACCCTTTATTAGTGCCCTTGTCAGACTTGTTGGACATGTTCTCTCTCCCTTCCTAAAAAATCCTGTCTATATCACTTTTGTCTGCACTGGGGGTTCAGTTAATACATTTTTTGGTGATTAAACAAGTGTTTCTAATGATCATTTTAATCTAGTCTGACTTCGATCTCCTCTACATGCCAGGTTTCACAACATACCGGGTCGGCACCAACCTCCCTCTAACAGAATTGGAATATAGATGAGGGTCTGAGCCATCTGTGCTGTTCTGTTTGAGTTAAGGTCATCTGGGGCTTCAACATCCAGATTTCACCACTAGTATTTCATACATTCATTTCCCACAGTTCTGCTTCCTACAGAAGTAAGCACATGGAGAGATGGTCACAGTACTGAGGAAGCCAAGGCTACAGCTAAAAGCAACAATAAACATTATAATAATAAATGCAACTAATAATTAATGAAATTTTACTATGTTCCAGTCAGTGTACTAATGTTTTGTGTACATGAAGTCTTCACATGAAATCTACAACAGCCATACAGGACAGACACAATTATTATCACCATTTTAAAGATGGGGAAATTGAGGTTCAGAAAGAGTAAAACCAGAATTTCACTGCTACCATGTTGTAGCATCCAGTCTATCTGACTCTAAAGCTTAGTCTACTGACAAGTATTTCCATCAATATCCTGGCTTCCTTGGGGTTTTTAAAGCCATTTATTTTTAATGGCAAAAGAAAAGAAACCCAAGTCTGGAATTTAAAGGCATTTCAGGCAATAACTTCATTGAGTGAAGGGAAGAATGTGTTGAGGGTTAGGCTGGAGCAGGGTTTTCTTTTTAGTATAATTTGTCCCCTTAAAGACAGCTGTACAGATGACTGTGTTAGTCATTTAATAGGATCAGAGGCAGAGAGGGGGATGTATGTGTGTTGAATTGAGTCATTTTCCCTTACCTTGTGATCCACTTGCCCCTGGAGTTCCAGATAGTAAGAGTCAGAACCCATTTCTTCCCCTATATTGCCACTATTAGCCAAGCTTTTCTCCTCTGTTCCCACCTGAAATCCGTTGGGAGGTGGCAGTGAAGTTGGCAGAAGGCTGCATGAGAGAGGGCTGGCTCTTGATGGGCACTTCCAGTTGAAAGGACAGTATGAGTGGCAGCCAGAAATAGTTATTAGGTGAAAAGACCCCAGATTTTATCTTCTAAGGATAACAAGTGCTTGATGAAGGTGATGATTAACGCCAACTCCATATCTGCACTGTTGACGTGGATACAGATGAGGGATATACAAGACCTGAGAAACTCAAGAAAGAAACTAAGAATGTAGTTTAACTGTGTGGAAGTAATTCTAATTATAGGCATTTATGTGAACTGTTTGCAATTTATGCTTAATTGCTACCCAGCACAATAACAATTATGCATATCATTAAATATGTGTCAGATTAATTTTGTTGTAAATTTTGATTATAACAGCAAACTCTATATGTGTATACTCTGTCTTCATAATTTGTTGCTCAGATTGCTCACAA